CCCCAAAACCCCAAAACCCCAAAACCCCAAAACCCCAAAACCCCATTAGTGGCAATTTTTGTCTGAGGGGGGAAATTGTAATAGAAATTTGTAGAGTTGTATATAATTTACTCTGGGATTAAATTTCGCCATACAAAGAAAAGCGAGAAAACTATTAAGTAATTTATCCATTAAGTCATTTAAATCAACATTCAAACCTATTTTCATTTATTGTGCATTCACTCATCATTCTGAGCATTTAGATTGATACTATCTCTCGAAACCCCGTGTACATTTTTTAAATGTCGTCCGAGATTTCCACTTTGAGTAAAAGTTTTCTGGCAAAAAGGGCATTTAAATGGTCTCAATCCTGTATGTTTCCTGAAATGATCTCTCAGATTACAACTTTTCTTGAAGACACTGCCGCACTGAGGATACCTACATTTAAAGTAGAGCTTTACTCTTTGAGTTTCTGGGTTTTTGACACGTATTGTTTGGTGCCATTGCTTAGGGATACCTTCAAAAGTCTTATGCTTATTATTGTTAGTCCTTCCTGAATCTCCGATATCATCTAGCTTTTACATCAGAGATTCCTAATTCTCTTCTATCTCATAATCCTCATCCATATCATCTTCGTTCTCGATCTCATAATCTGAGTGATCTAGGAATACCTAGCCGCTTGAAGCCCATTTATGTTGTTAATCTTTATCTTATAGTTACTATTACTGATGCTTAATTGTAGACTATTATTCTTTCTCTATATTATTAATACTTTCTTATAAGGACTATTTTGCCTCAGAACAACCGAACTCTAGATTTCTCGGAGTTATTAGATCAGTTCTTTGTATTCTAATCTTTGTAGAACCAGGTGCCAACTCTTGCATCTATAGACATTGCTCATTTTTGGTTTCATTAGTATGTTCCCATGAATGCTCGATGTTTAGCTGGATCTTCTAGTCTTCCTAATATACATGCTCTCTTGAGTGTTCAATATTTGATCGATTATTATCAGTGTTATTATCAGTAGAGAATGAGTATCTCCTATTGAATAGATTTTCTTCTTTTATAGGAGAAATGATAACCTTGATCTTATTAGCTGGAGTGTCTTCCCTCACAAAGCGATGAAAAGCAGATTTTTCTCCAGAGCCAAACACTTATGACTGAGGCATTCTCAGCTTTTCCGGAGATAATGCTGCTGTGTCTAAAGACTTACTTAACACAGCAGTACCTTGATACTGACTGATGAGCTGCTATTGCTGTCTTTACTACAGTATTGGGGAGCACAAATATGTCAAATAAGGGTTAAGTGCTTGCGTTGGATTTAATGGCTGAAATATAAGTGGTTATTAGAAGTAAGGGATCATAGCTAACTTTTCTTTCTTTTAAATTTATATTATAGTTGATTCAACCTCATTTGTTTAAAGAGCCTATAAAAGTTCTATTTCCTCAACCGAAAATTACCATATTTGTCAGAAATCATCATTTTAAACCTCAGAAATACAAATTGATTACTACAATTCAGATTGTTGGGAGTTGTTAGTAGTACATTAGATTTTTACTATTAGTTAGGATATAGAATAGCATTTTCATTTCAAGAATATTTTTAATTTTCTCCACAAAATCATTTCTTTCTGCCTTTCGCTTTTTATTATGAATCACGGGGTTTTGGGGTTTTGGGGTTTTGGGG